CTGTATTTGCCAAAGAGGGGTTCTGGGCTCTGAATCCTAAATGAACAGAGATGTCTAAACCCCAAAGAGGAGGGACTGAAGGATTCCCTTCCATTTGGTGTGTTTCCTTGCTCCAGTCCCATTTTGGAGTATCTGTATAGAAAGCATAGGTGCCTATTCCAGGTGCCTGGACAACTGCCCTAGATCACCTGACTCTCCCTAACTAGAACTCCATGAGCCGTTAGTTAAAAATCTTAGCTGCTTTGTCTGTTCTAGCTGGTTTCTCTGCTCTTTATGAACTTAAAGCCCAGCCAAGATCCCCTAACGACTGGACACATGACACACTCCACACTGGTGTAACCTGCCCTTACACTGTATGTTCATTCCTTGCTTAGAGTATTGTATGGTCTTTGCACTGGGTTGTAATAAGCTACAGCAGTGTGAGTGCACATATGCAAAACCAGGGGTAAAGCTACACCAGTGTAAGCTGACATCAGTGTAGGTTTCATACGTCTGCTTTTATCTTGGAGTTGTTGGTTGTAGCCGTGTTGGTCTAAGGACATAGGCAGACACGGTTCTATGGGCAGATGTGTGATAACTTTTATTAGACCAATTAAAGAGTTGGAAAAAATGGTATTTGCAAGCTTTCAGGCAATCTATCAAAGACAAAAATACCCAATTACCTGTGGGCACGCACTTCTCAGAAGACCACTTTCCCTCCAATCTCTCAGTTCTAATCCTCAAAGGGAATTTACAAAACACCTATCGTAGACGACCCTATGAACTTCATAAATCTACTGAATACAAAAATTCATGGACTAAATACAGACATTGGATTTATGGTGCACAACTGGCCTGACACATGATAACCCCAGGTAACCTGTCTGCATTTTACCAGCTGCATTCTATCATCAGTTCAGCATTTCCCTTCCCCACCCGACCTGTCTCAATCCTATTGTCTCCCATCCCTTTCATCCTCACTGCCACAGATTTGCATTTTCATAGACCTGAATTTTGGCTTCTATTCTACCCAGGAGAGAGCACAAAACACCAACAGACTTTCCCTATGCCTGAAGAAGGATGTTTGTGTTCAAAAGCTTGCAAAGAACAATTTTTCCAACTATTTAGTTGGTCTAATAAAAGACAGCACCTCTACCCAAATAACCTTGTTCATCTTGGAGTAGCTCATTGGGATGCTCCCAATGGAAACAGGGTACTCCTGGCTTCTGCATCTTCTTGTGGCAAATCTCTGTAATACAGCCTACAACCCCAGCTACCCCAGGAGAGCTGGTTATCTGTTCACTTGAATTAACCAGTGTAAGTTAACTGGTATACAAAGCCAATGTAAGCTACACCAATATCTTGTGTCTGGACTGCAAAGCTTGTAGACCCTTCAAGGCAACTGTACTTGAATTTTGAGCAAATGTGGATTGAGCTTCAAACAATACATCAACACATTTGTGCCTTGCCCTGCAGTTACAGAAAATGACTTATGATGATGTTCAAGACTGAGAAAAATTAACTGTTGGCTTTGACCTGCAAACAGGCAAAAACCTGTGGTTTCTGCTAGCTTATTCTGTTGGTGAGATTCTGATTTCATGCCAAACTCAGTGGAACACGGGAGACAAAGCAAGCAAATGGAAATGTAAGATAAGGTCTATATGAACTTCTTCCAACTGGAAACACAGCAATTGCTTCTGTGCTCTTAGGCACAGTTTGGTCTAGAGTGGACTTAAACCCTCGAGGAGAACTAATTAAATACACACTTCACTTTGTATTTACTTGGATTTTAGACAGTAGCTCCAAAATGTTGTACCCATTGGTGCTCTATGTAATTTAATCAACCATATTTAAAATGTAAATTAGATCAGTTAAGCCTCTGTATAAATCATGCCCCCCAACCAACTCACAAAATGCCCCATATTTAGATTATTCATTAATTTGCTCACCCTCTTTCCTTGTCTCCATGACAAGCACTGGACAGCACAGAGTCCATAACGTTAAATAACAAAGATCACAGACAAAAGCACCTCCCAGAGTCAAAGGACCCAATGATCTGTCTCCTTCCATTTTGAGGGGTCCTCACTTCATGCAATGGACCGGATTATGCACAGTATGAAACTGAAGGCCAGATCCTCAGCTGATGTAAATCAACATTGGTCTACTGACATCAGTGACATGATACAGATTTACATGAGCTGAGAGACTTTTATTTTTCCCCCTTGTAAACCTTTTCCATTATGTACATAAATGCAATAAATAAAAACACTAAGACAGACCATAATCAGAAAGCAGAGACACAGAGCTATTGGTATTCCAGCAGTGGATAGCCAAGGCGAAGGCTGCTGATGATAAATGCTCTCACAACCCTGCCAAGCAGATTGGCTAACACCTTTCTATAGTGACATCTCTACTCTCTATCACCCGAAGCTGCAGCTACTGTATTGCTGAGTTTCTGCTGGAAAAGATACAGGGACAAGAATGAAACTATCTTGTTAGTCGCACACAGGTCAGCCGTTTTTTGCTTAGATCCTGTTTTCTGCTTGGTATTTCCCCCCTCCTTTGTTTTGGCAGGGATACCTTTTCCAATTAAATCCCTTTATTGAATTTTTCACCCTTGGTTAGCTCCCAAAGATCTGACCCTTGCAAAAAAAATAGAGAAATGATTTATAGATTGCAACTTTTAGGCTAAGCCCAAAAATGCAGCTTATTAAAACATCATCCCCTAGGCACCGCAGTTGCACACTGACCTCCTCCAGGGTAGACAGGTTTGCTTGCTGCTCAGAGAGGTATAATTATCATAGCTGGGCTGGCAGGTTGGTCTAGTGTGGTAGATCCCAACACCACTTCTGACTGGTTCATGAACCCACTTTTGATGCAAGACATTTTGAATTGAATTTCTGTGGGCTCATGATTAAACTTGTAAGTACTGTGGCTCCACTTGGGGGCATGATTCTTAGTTTGGGAATGGATGAGCTAGTGGTTAGAGCAAGAGGATTCAAGCAGCTTGGGATATATTCTCCAGCTTGATGATGATGGCTTACCATGTTCCTATGGACAACTCCTATTACCTACCAAATGTTGCTCATGTTTCCAACTGCCCATGTTTCCAAGTGCTCTATTTGCACTGAGACAATTCTTATTATTACACCAAAACAATGAAGTGGAAGAAAATGCAACATGGTACCTGGTTTTGAGCAAGGAACACTCTTGATATATCATGGACTGAATACACCCTCAAAAGTGTCATGACAAGAAATTAGCTCCTTGTAGAAACCCCCTATAGCATTAAATAGTAATGAACCAAATTCACTGCAGCTTCCAGCAATGCTGATGATGCCACTCCATTCAAAACTGTTTCTGTGAAATTACTAGATAATAATACAGTTTTGACATGTTTTGACATTTGCCAGAGAGCCTCCAGGATTTTCTGGATCCAGAATTAGTAAGAGTTAGAAGGGCAAAAAAAAAAAGGGGGGGGGCAGAGGAGGGAGAAGTAAAGGCATTGAGAAATTGAAAATTCTCTCATTTTAATAATGTAAAATGCTATTAAATGGAATGAACATTTTACAGAGAGACAGACAGACAGGCACAGTAGGTCTGTGTGAAATTTCAATTAGTGTTTTGTTTCAAAGCTGTTTCGACGCATTTCGAGCTTGAAACGGCAACATCAAAATAAAAGAAAAGGCTTTGAAACAGCTTCAAAATGAAATGAGGGCACGCAAAACATTTTGAAAGTTTTGAAATGTTTTGAGTTTCAAAGCAGCCCGGTAGTGGGAGGCAGGGGAGAGCCAGGGCTGTGCTCCCGCCGCCTCCAACCACCAGGCTGAGCATTACGGGGCTGGTGGAACCACTTGGACTGCAAACCTGGGAGGAGTCCAGCACAACCCCACAGCCTTCCCAGGGGTGCGGGCCCCCAGATCTGCGTGCAGGATGACAGGAGGCTGCCGGCAAGTGATACGAATTTTGCTTTTCTCAGTTCAAGGTGGAGCTTTCCTGAACACCTATCTCCTTGAAACTTGGCAGGCTTCATGCCCTCAGAAGGGGCTACCAGCCCTTCAGTGTTTTTTTCTGAATCAGGCAATAAATGACAAAGTTATAGGCATTTTCATAATTCCCATTATAGCCTATGGGCAAAACGTTGAAACGCATCGAAACAGTAAAACCGTTTCGACAAAATGAAATGGAACAGTGCTTCAAAATGAAGTGAAATGGCAAAATGAAACACTGTCCCTTTGAAATGGCAAAACAGAAGTTGAAACAAAATGGTGCTGTTTCTCACAGCCCTGATACATAGATAGATAGATAGATCTGTATCTATCTATATAGATATATGTAGATCTAGATTTATAGCTATAGATACACACACACATATATATATATTATTTATTTCAGCAGTGCCCTTTTAAAATTCATTTCCTAAAAAAAAATCTCATGCTTTTAATTCAAAGCAAATTAAATAAATTTGTTGTCTTGAAATGTCCCTTTCCTAACGTTTTCTGGGCTAAATTCTGCTTTCAAGGACACAACATAAATCTGGAATAACAGGACTGAATTTGTCAGTGTAACTGATGGCATAATTTGACCCGCTGGGGTTTGTTTGCTGTCTTTTCTCTGTTTGTTTGAATTTGTTTATGTCCATTTAATATGCCATTTAAAAGAAAAACCCTTAAATGTTGCAAATCTGTTTGTTACACTGCAGTAAAGTAGTTATTTCTGGGGAAAGCATCATGGAATTGAAGTGAGCACACTCAGAGCAATCAAAGGCCTGAGGCAATCCAAAGCTGCAGGAAAGAAGCCACAGGAAAGTTGTGCAGTGTCTGGGAAAGAATAAACAGGGACAATCCTGGGAGTACAGGATCAACAGATGGAACAGGGGACCTGGGAGATCTTATGTCCAGCAAGTGGAGCTAGAAACAGTGAAAAGTAGCTCCATGGTAGCATGTGGCAGTCAAAATGTCAAGCCAGTCCACAGCAAAATACAAGAAATGCCAGTGCTCTTTGGAAGCGAATGTACTTACGGCCATCTGGTGTCTTGGCTTCTAGGTGTACGAGGTCTGGCTCTTTACTGGAACCCATCATGGACCTGCAAAGAAAAGTTTGAAGTGAAAGTGTTTAAATGAATGAACTCTCGGATGCTGCTGCCCTAAACATTTATCCAGAGTAGAAGAACTTGCTGAGGTAGACCTGCATCCATAGTGACAACTAAAAGCTAAAGGCACTGAGCGTCGATTCCCCTAGCATTCCCAAGGAACAAAACTGGCTTTTTAAGGAGGGCTGATGTACTTCAGATAGTTGAAGACTGCTATGGAGGGGACTGAATAGCAGTCTTCATCTACCTGAAGCAGGGCTCAAAAGAGAATGGAGCTGGACTGTTCTTAGTGCTGGAAGATGACAGGACAAAGAGCAAAAGTCTCAAGTTGCAGCAAGGGAAGTTTATTTTGGATATTCGAAAGAATTTTTTCACGTGGATGGTAGTAAAGCACTGGAACAGGTTACCCAGAGAGGTGATGGAGTCTCCATCCTTGGAGGTTTTTAAGACCCAGTTAGACAAAGCCTTGGCTGGGATGATGTAGTTGGGGCTGGTCCTGCTTGGAGCAGGAGGTTGGACTAGATGTGACCTCCTGAGCTCCCTTCCAACCTTCATTTTCTATGCTTCTACGAGCACATCTACACATTGTGCTACATTGCCAAAGTGATGCACTACAGTGACATAGTGACTACTTGTGTCTACACATTACTGGCAGCTACTTTGCCATAGCTGTGTGCTCCCACACTTTAGCGTGCCTTTACAGCGAAGTAATGGCTAAAAATAACCATGCACCGCACATACGGCACAGTACGGACAGTTGCTATCTCATGCTCTAGTACTTCCAACAGGAAGTACTAAAGCACAAAGCACAGCACAGTAACAATGTCACCATAGGGTGACATGTAGATGTGCCCTATGATTCTACTTCCAACACCCTTAGCTCTGCCCTTATTGCATCTATGCTACCCCTTTATGGAAAATGTGCCTGTGTCCTTTATTTTAAGGGGGTAGGTGGTAGTATTTCCGTACATAGCCTATCAATGCATTCTGGATTTTGATTGGTGGGGAATATTTCAGTCTGTAGCATGTTGGCATGTCCTCTGTTCTGCTTGGAAAGTGATATTTCAGTGTAGGACATGTTGAGGTACCCTTGGGTTGATAGGGTACGATTCATTACACGATGCGTTCTTGCACACTTTCCTTTGATTGGCTGGATGTGCTCTGGTGATTTAGTGCTCAATCACATTTCCCTATGACTGGCTATAAAATTGCAGTCATTCCTCCATCTCAGACCTTTTATGTCCATTAATTTAATTGACATCCTTCATGATCGATACTCTGTCATTAATTAAAAAAATATAAAAAGAAAATCCCCCCCTCCCTTTTCAGATGTTTTATTGCCTCTAATCTAATAAAAATGGTGTTGAGTTAATAAAAGAGATGTCAGTCTGGCTGGGAAGATGACTGTTTGCTCACTCAAGTAGAAATAGCAGCATATAGTATTCAACACTGTACATAACGGATGTACAGGATAAAGTAATTCATTAGTGAAAAAGTTCCACTGGATTTTTAGCACTGGTTCAGACAAATCCCTGGACCAATGGACCACTAGATTCATGCCTGGATTATAGCACTGCTTAGTGTGTGGGAGTCTGCATTAGGTCTGAGGGCACAGACCTGCTGTGAGTTTTGAACCATGATCTTTGATGCAGAAATGAGACAAGGACAACGTTGGCCATCCTCATATTGCTAGGTTAAGATTTAACCTTTCAGAGTGCATGGACCATTTTCTTGATAGTAGACTGAGTTATGTATTAATGTGAGATTGAAAGGATAAGAACATTCATTTCCAGTGATCGACAACCCTGATGCTGCCCCATCCAATCCCTCATAATTTCTAAAGAAATCAAAATTGAGGTTCGGAAAGCAATGAAGGGCCTAATTCAACTCCCGCTGGCTGCAATCAGAGTCAGCTCCAGCCCTCAATCATCAGCAGTTTTACCTAATAACCTTTATAGAAATGTTAGCAGCAACAAGACTGTTTGTTCTGATTAATACTGAGTTATGCACGATGAATCCTGTTGCAAATTCTTTTACTCGAAAAGTTTTTTCTTTGTTGGACACTGAAGTACTTCTGGAGGGACTCAAATCATGGCTGTTCTTTCGGAGCTAGTGGTACTCTCAGCCTGCTCAACATTTTCAATGAGCTTTAAGGAGAGGCAGACATTTTCTTGCAAGAAAAATGACCTTGAGGCATCTAACACACCCATTTTAATTTCTTCTTTTTGCTTACTGGAACCAAGGAGAAAACCAGTTGCCATTTCAACTATACTGTCTTCCAGCCACAAAATGATCTAGGGTTTAGTTTCCTACATGGAAAATGCTTTATGTCAGCACCCGGTCTCCGACTACCTTTCAACCTCATGATCAAATCCTGCCCTTTTGGATATCAGCGGAGGTTTGGAAATTCAGTTAAATGGGAATAGGATTTGGCTCTTAAGGAAAAAAGACCTCTAAGGGACAGAGTACCTTATTCATGGCCTGACACACACCCATGAGAGCACATTCAATCCTAGACAAAGAGCTCGGTTACGATTCTGTTCTGCATACTTGAATGCTCAGCCTTTGCATGGACATACAACAAGGATGCTCATTCAACTAAAGGTAAATTGCCCTAGTTAAAGTCAGACATGCTACCATCAGGTGCTTTGTGAGCTTCCTCTACCTGGTTTCACCGTATCTCTGTCCTTGCCTGTAGCACCACTCCTATTCCAATTCTTAGCAAAGACAACTAATCTAGACTGAGTTATGCAGTGCAGAAACATGGGGAAAGACCATCAGAAGTGCCTTTGCAACTAAGCCAGCATTTGCATGAAAATGTTCAAGGTCTTAAGGCCAGTTTACAAATGTTCTGCTGCATCAAATCCCTACATTTAACAAGCCAACTTTTTTGAAAACTTCGGCACTGTTTAACCTGACCCTGGTTAGAGTCACGCTAGTGTCTACGAGACTGCAATGGGTGCAACTTGAAGCAGGACTTGACCCACTCTCCCAGTGATGGAGAGAGCAAAGATACCCACAATAAAGCTTATTGTGAACCTTTAACCAATCTGATCTGAACACCTTATGAGCATTACTGTATTATCACATAGCCCTCTCAGGCAGGAAGGTGCTGTTACCCCCATTTTATGGCTAGGCAGATGAGGCACAGAGAAACGCAATGAGTTGCTCCAGAGGAAGCAGGAAGTTGGCTGTTGAACTCAGACTTCAATCCAAGCTACTAGAGACTGGTGTTCTTTCCACTGGATCATTCTTCCTCTCTCAACCCATAATTATGTTAGCTCTGAGATACAACATGTCAGATTTAGCACTGAAAGCAAAATTTTACAGCCAGGCATAACAAGAAATAATAAATGCCAAAAGACAGGCAAGTTGATAGACAAAATATGCTCCATTCAATAGTTGCTTTCTACAATTTAAGTTTAGAAATACACAGACCAAATCTAGCCAGTGTAGAGTTATTTATATCCAAGAGTTCAGAAATGTGGCTGGTTTTTCTCTCTTTTGCCACCTTCTCCCACCCCATGAGAGAGGATGATATTACTTAACAGATGCTGTAAAATTACTTAATCCCAATACAAATAAGTCAGGATTCACTGAAAGGATAAAACCCACAGCAAAACAGAACATGTTTGTTATTTTCGATTAAGAAATCCAATTTAGTGCTGATTTATGGATGGGTGGATTTTAGGTAAGATAGAAATGGAAATTTTCTGTGGCTGTATATGATATGATAATGCACAATGGACACTTCTACACATGCACATTTACTGTGCAGTAATGGAAATACTGTGCAGTACGGGCTCACATCCACAAGTCCACACCTGTACTGCACAACAAATATGGCACGCTGCAGTGATATGTGTGTAAATTGGATACCTGCATCAAATTTGATAGTGTGTAATTTGTGAGTGTAAATTTAATACCTGCACCTGATACCTGCAGGTATCAAATTTACGTCTGATTAGTTGCTGCACGGTAATGCACATGTAGATGCCTTACTGTGCAGTCACACTGTGTGTCTGGACTGACTCGGGACTAACTTTAGTTGCAACTAAGTCCACACACGGTGTTAATGTGCTTTAATGCCTGCATGTGTAGATGTCAGCCTATTCCCACTTACTGAGCAGTAAATTTAAACCAGCATAAATGCACATGTATTCACACCTAATCATGGATTTTCCCCAGCCTCATCTTTGGTGAAGCATAAGTGGTCTGTGTTTTCTTAGAAGGATGGACATACAACCTTTCTTCAATGCAGGACAAAGGTTAAGAGAGGTGAATAACTTGCTCTGGTTGTACTGCATCAGATTAAGTACCCTTTGTGGAGAACAGACAACAATATCTTGTTAGCCATTTTGTCTCTTCCACCCCTATTTGTCTTTGATAATACGCTTATCCACAAATGCATGCAGTTGTTACTGGCATCACTATCCTGCACCTCAACTCTTACTTCATTTCTTACAATGGAGGTCTGATACCTCCATTGTTCCTTTGTCTTAAGGTCTAGATGATAGAAACAAACCTGCCAATGGCCATTTATTCATTTAATTATACACCCTATTCAACTCATTGAAAATACGAGCAAGATTCCCTTGGACTCCATTCTCCTAGAGACAGGCGCAAAGCAGCTTTGGAATGGTATGACTTTCATTTTTTTTCAAAAGACTTATAGATAGATAGATAGATAGATAGATAGATAGATATTATGGACATATATCTATATACATACATATATATTTGTTTCTATACACACACACACACACACACACACACACACACACACACATACACACACCCCTACGTTCTTTCTGGTGTCATTGTCTGAATGTAAAAACCTCCCAAAAGAAGAAAAATAAGTACAAACTATTCAGAAAACCTGGAGAAGTGGGAGTGCCAATGGGACCCACTCCAATGTTCCCTGCCGCCTTTACAGAAAATACTTACATTATGAAATGTGCAGGCCCACCAAGGTCGTTGATTTGACTGCAAAC